ATAAGTTTGTTTTCATTTTTTATATTTTGTTTGTGCTTTGAAGTTTGTTTAGCGGTTAGATTTGTTTTACGGGGTAGGGTTGCTAGCCCTATGCCCAACCTTCCCTCTTTACCCGGGCTTAGGACCGGCTAGTAACTAGTGAACTAGTTAACCAGGCGAGGTTAATAACTGAAAAAAGCCTGTCAAATTAATTAACAAATATATCCAGAAAAATTTATCATTCATTGATACTTGTAATTGGAATTTTGGATGCGTGTTTCGTCCTGTTTGAGTTTCATCAGTTAGATATACATGCACTCCAGTATGAAAAAATAATGATAACTAGTACTCGTGCAAAACGCTCTACCTCATACCTCACTAGTTTGATGGCGATTGAAGCGATGGTTGCTGGGTTCAGGTCACAGTGGGAACACTACCATTCACTAGGGGGGGAGTGATAGTGGTACGCCTACCTGACGAATTCCAAATATGGCAATGTAGGCATCTGGATTTTAAGTTAACTACAACATAAAGTTTTTTCTTTTTTTTAAACCGTTTTCAATACATAAAGCAAAATCTACTAAATCATTGTTGTCTAGGCTGTATGTGTTCTTTTTTTGGTGTATCTTTTTTCGAATGAGCCCATTTTCATTTTCTGTGTCATGCTGAAAGTTGAACAATTACAGTTTAAGTATAATTGTTTTTATATCATACCGTCGTTGATTGGACCGAATTGATCGGTCTCTGTTAGCATATGGGATCCTGTGCGGATGCCTCGATATACCTGTGTAGTTCTAGTTATAGTGAAGATGAATAGTGGCTATCAGTGGAATCCAGGTTGCGCATTTCCTCCTATTTGGGACTCGTTGTTCCCACCGGGGAGCAGGTACATCCAGCTGACGAGTCCCGAATAAGATGAAATGTCTATCCTGGATTCCACTACTAGCCATGATTCATCATTAATAGTTGCAGTTTTGTAGTGACCATCAGTCGGGAAGCTCACTGATGCCTTCGAAATAAAAACAGGAGTGAAACAAGGCTGTCTACTATCACCCATGATATTCCTGATTGTGGTAAACTGGATAGTGCAGCAAACCGTGCGGAGCGGGAAGAAGGGGATACACTGGACCACGGAAAAGAACCTAGAAGATTTGGATTCCGCCAGTGATGACTTGTGTCTAATGTCACACAAACTTGAAGATCTACAGGTGAAAACTAACAAGTTGACAGAAGAGGCAGGGCAGCGAAGGGAGACGGGACTTGAAGTGGATATAGAGAAGACAGAGGTGGTGAAGATACGCAAGCAACAACAGCATCAACAACAAACACCAATCAACATCAAGGGGAGAAACTTAAAGAAAGTAGCATCTTTCATCTATCTAGGCAGCTTCGTTTCAACTAGAGGCGGCGGCTGGACATACGAGGACATCAAAACCAGGATCGGAAAAGAAAGGCAGGCGTTGATTAACGTGAAACCAGTGTTGATATGTTCTGTACTACACTCAACATAAAGCGTGAAGAACATCCGGATTTTGAACACCAGTCGAGTGAAGTGAGTGCTTCTATGTGATGGTTGAGAGACTTGGCGCATTACGAAAGGTATTTCCAACAAACTACATACATTCACCAACAACTGCCTACGTTGGCTCGTTACTGAAGCTGAGATGGTTCGAATAATGAAAATCAGTAAGAAGTAACTCTGGCTGGCTGTCTGGCTAGCAACGAACCAAGGAAGCGAGAAGCTATCGCTGAATAAATATGCATTGGAAGGAAGTGTAGATGGATTGTGCATACACTGAGAAGGGTGACTGGGGACATCATGCGATAGGCCAGGCCAGGCCATGCCAGGCAGTCGAGTGGAACCGAGATGGGGAACGGCGAGTTGTGCGACCTAGGTGAGGTTGACATGGAGGAGATGGTGTGAGGAAGAAATGAGAGGTTGTGGGCAGTCGTGTAGCCAGGTTGGAAAGATTGCAGAGACGAGAGTGTAATGGTGACATGCTACTGAAGCCCTGTGTTCCATTAGGAATCCAAGGGACAAATAATAATAATACTGGTGATCATCAGTAGTTTGTTCAATCATTCAGTGTATTTCACATCTAACTGTAACAATTTTATCGTCCCGTTGATGTCATCATGCCTACTTGGAAAATGTATATTTCGTGTTCAGCTGTCGAAGACTATAGTCATCAACTTGATGCTGAATTAATGTCTAAAACTAGATTTATTCTCGAAACTGGATAATTAAAAAAGTGGTTCTCCAACGGCATTAACAAAAAAAGTAGTGTCAATACATAAGGTGTCATTAACATCGAAAGTTGTGGTGAATGATGATGAATAGTCAGAATATGACTAGAGTTGTACTTAGTTTGGAGAAGACGTTTTGTCGCATGACAAAATACTTGGAAGCTTAAAGTGTCATCTGAAAGAATAAAAGAACAAGAATGAGTAGTAAATTACATAAGAAGTGGACATTATAAGAATAGAGAAGTGATTTCAAAGACTGGAAACTAAGACCATGAAAAGACAAGAGGTTGAACAGTTTTCTTCCGGGTACAAACCTCAGGTTTCTTCATATAGACGGCAAGACCTCTGGTGATACAGAGAATATAAAGATATACAGCTTTTCTAAGTTTTCTTTTCCATTCGTAAATGACTTTAAATGTGGGAGATTCTTGAGATAGAGTGACCTATGTTCACGATGTGTTCAGTTCTAACATTTCTTATTAATCCACTGTTACCCCTTTGTAAGCGTATAGGATAATGCTCTTTAACCCTTTTGGATAACAGTCGTATCGAACGATCTACATACCTGACTCCACAAGAGCAGGTAAATTAATATGCACACATAGAAGTGGTCAAATATGAAGAATCTTCCTTCAAGTTGTCAGAAAACATTTAGTGACAGGAGAATACTAGTCTCGACGTTGATTCGAAAAAATGTTTTCCTTAAAAAGTTTGATATCCTCCTCTTCAGATTGTCTTTTAGTGACAGAAACACCTTTGAAACTTAGATTCATATAAAGCTCTCTTTTTTGATATGATTGTAGGATTCCCTTAGCAACATTTTGGCTTGGTATTTTTGTCTATGAAGCATGATAGGAATTTTTCTTCAATTAGAATGTTTCTTAGGAAGGGAATTTCCTATCTCAACACATTGGGACTATAGATTTGTCTAGTATGAGTGGCAAGACATATGATTATATTTCGTTTGCAATTCATGGTTATCCAGGTATGAAACAAAGTACATCAACTGATCATTGAACACCAATTTTTTAAATAAATTGATCTTTTTAACGTTCCATCACTTATTCTTCTTAGCCCTATATCAAAAAAGTGGATTTTTGTTTCATTTTAACCTCAATAGTGAATGTGATTACTGAATGTTTATTACTTTTCGTTTTTCCTTTTTTTTTATTATTTATCCCTCGGGTTCCTAGTGAAACACAGGGCTTCAGTAGCACGTCACCATTACACTCTCGTCTCTGCAGTCTTTCCAACCTGGCTCCACGACTGCCCACAACCTCTCATTTCTTCCTCACACGACCCCCTCCATGTCACCCTCAACTCTGACGCCCAACTCGTCAATTCCCATCTCGGTTCCACTCGACTGCCTGGCATGGCCTGGCCTGGCCTGTCGCATGATGTCCCCAGTCGGCCTTCTCAGTGTATGCACAATCCATCTACACTTCCTTCCAATGCATATTTATTCAGCAATAGCTTCTCGCTTCCTTGGTTCGTTGCTAGCCAGACAGCCAGCCAGCCGGGCCAGAGTTACTTCTTACTGATTTTCATTATTTTAGCCATCTCAGCTTCAGTAACGAGCCAACGTAGGCAGTTGTTGGTGAATGTATGTAGTTTGTTGGAAATACCTTTCGTAATGCGCCAAGTCTCTCAACCATCACATAGAAGCACTCACTTCACTCGACTGGTGTTCAAAATCCGGATGTTCTTCACGCTTTATGTTGAGTGTAGTACAGAACATATCAACACTGGTTTCACGTTAATCAACGCCTGCCTTTCTTTTCCTATCCTGGTTTTGATGTCCTCGTATGTCCAGCCGCCGCCTCTAGTTGAAACGAAGCTGCCTAGATAGATGAAAGATGCTACTTTCTTTAAGTTTCTCCCCTTGATGTTGATTGGTGTTTGTTGTTGATGCTGTTGTTGCCTGCGTGTCTGCATCATCTCTGTCTTCTCTATGTTAACTTGAAGTCCCGTCTCCCTTCGCTGCCCTGCCTCTTCTGTCAACTTGTTAGTTTTCGCCTGTGGATCTTCAAGTTTGTGTGACATTAGACACAAGTCATCACTAGCGGAATCCAAATTTTCTTGTGGGGTATTTTCATCGATCGGGTATAGTGTATGCCCATCTTCTCGCTCCTCACAGTTTGTTGCACTATGCAGTTTACCACAATCAGGAATATCATGGGTGATAGAAGACAGCCTTGTTTTACTTCTGTCTTCACTTCAGAGGTGTCACTGATCTTCTCATTGTGAATTACTTGGCATGTGGCGTCTCCATATAGTCATTGAATGAGGTTGATAAAAGTTTGTGGTATTTTGTAGTGTTGAAATAATTGCCAAATTACTTGTCGTTCGACGTTGTCGAAGGCCTTTTCAGATTCGTTGAAGTTTTGAGTAGAGAGTTGACTGCCATTCTATACTCTGTTCTATGATGATGCGTAGCTTTGCAATTTCTGAATGTTAGCTGTTGAATATCCGTAGAATGTAATTCAAGTCATATTGATTATCACACATAGTGAAAGCATTATCCACTTACTTTTTGTACAGTTGAAGGCCTTTAATCGTTGATTTCAAGATTCTTTTCGCTAAACTTCTAATAAAGTAGTGGTCTACTAGTAGTGGTGGTAAACCTATTGAGAAATCCATGGGTTTTTTTGAAGTTTTGCATATATTTGGCTTTTAAGTATTGTTCAGGTGAAGAAAATTTTCTCGTTATGACACAATAACTAGTAACTCTTCTTTATATTTTGTTTAAAAAACCTTCTTTGTTTTTTTAATAGATAATCTGCTTCTTTTGAACGATCCATCGGTTGAAAATGTTTACCGCTTATTACCAATAGATTTTGAGTACTCTGGTTATAATTATCGGTGAGTTTTGTGTGAATATATGCCAACAAAGAATTGACAGGTATATTTACTCTCTTTGTGATTACTTTTCTATCTATTCTCATTTCTGTATATCCATCTGTTTAGTTGTATTTTAAAGTTGAATTTCTCGTTTACTGGTAAAAAAAAGTTGGTCATAGTTTTGAAGATTGTCTGTTACTCGGTGATTCGCTTGTCATGAATAAGTCAGGTCACTTTTCACTGATACTACTCGAATATTGTACCCTAGGGTACAAGTACATCCAACTGACGGTTCCCAAATAAGACGAAACGCATGTCCTGGATTCCACTAATTGCCGCCAAGTAGACTAAAGTATTGCGAGTAATCGGATAGTATCCACATGGGAACCTATCTGCATATTGTGAATCGGTATTATTTTTTATTATTTGTCCCTTGGGTTCCTAATGGAACATAAGGCTTCAGTAGCACGTCTCCATTACATTCGCTTCTCTACAATCTTTTCAATCTGGCTCCACGACTGCCCACAACCTCTCATTTCTTCCTCATACGATCTCCTCCATATCACTGTTGCCTCGAACGCCTAACTCGCCGTTCCCCATCTGGGTTCCACTCGAGTACCTGACCCGTCGCATGATGTCCCTGAATGGTCTTCTCAGCGTATGCTGAATCTATTTCCATTTCCTTCTAGTGCGTATTTGTTGAGCGATAGGTTCCCGCTTCGTTGGTTTGTTGCCAGGCCAGAGTTCCTTGTTACTTATTTTCATTATTCTAGCCATCTGAGCTTCAGTGATAAGCCAACGTAGGCAGTTGTTGATGAATGTCTGCAGTTTTTTTGGAAATGCTTTTCGTTACGCTCAAAGTCTCTCAACCATATGGAAGCACTGACTTGACTCGGTATAACAACGGGGAAATACAAGTATCATTAAACAATGTATACTGTATTTGCGCAATACATTTCGAACAATCTGATAACACATTTTCTTCTTTCAAGTCAATTTATATTAAAATGAAGGATGGAAGGATGAATAGAACAATGGAGATAATAATAGGGGATTAAAACTAAGAAAGATAAGGACAATATGGAAGGGTAATATAGTTAATCCTGAATTTTGGTAACGAATCAAAGTTTACCAAGGTAAGTGTAGTGTAAGAACAAATTATTTTTTCTATGCACAAAGGTGTTTTCAATTTGTGTATGCCTTTCGCTTCCACAAGTCTCAGGATACGTCTGCGATTATTTCTGTGTAAAACTCTGAAAGGTGTTTGAACATTAATTTTGTGACTCGTGTCTCTAATATGTTTAGCTGCTGCGCTTATCAAAATTTCACACTCCATTTGTTTTTGAAACCATTTAGATGTATGTTCTCCTAGCCTCAACTACATGACTCGATTACTCTTTTCTATGTATATGTGACTAGAAACACATGTTAATTAGTAAACTCAAGGGAGTGTGACGTAATCATTGATGCAGAGTGATATGGACGCTTTTTTTAGGACGCAAAATTGGTACAGATTGGTACACACTTTTTATCATCTTCCATATCGTTGTCTTTTCCTTTATCTCCTTGTCTTATGGCGCTTTGTCACTGTCGATAATAACTACTACCATTTTTAATCCTTCATCTTTATCAACCTTAACTTTGCTTTCTGATTTCAAAAGTCTAGTGAATAATGCAGTTATGTTATATCCTATTCTGTCCGTGTGAGATTCATTCCCCTTTTTTGTTTCATTGCTAACGGTGATGATTGTGTAGAAAGTTGATGCTGATTAGAACTAGGTTTTGACCTGAAAAACGCCTTTAGAAGATGGCCCGCATTATTTGACCTGCAATCAATCTATCCACACTGACTACCTAAATGAAATCTCCTTGATCCTGAATTCCCAACCTGCTTATTCGATTCGTCACCTAGCTGTAAGATATCTATCTAGCACACTTGGCTGAGAAGATCGTTCACCCTGATGGTAGAACTTCCCACTAACTCAATCCGGCATAAGCAAAGATTACGAAGAGATATTTTTAATCTTTAACGTCACTTCTTACTCTAAATTAATCTTGAAGTTTACCGGCACATCGATAATTGTTAATACTTTTCTAGTCGCATAATAAGACTTCAGCTGTGGTCCTCATGCGATTTCGGATACCGTACACCTTTATCATGTGATCGCTGCATAGATGTACAGTCAGCACTTCCCGAGCTGATGTTCCGGGAATTTACTATAGACCCTTCACCGGTATAATATATACGGATTGTCGATATAAAGCCTAGATTAATGTAGTGGCTTAACAAAAACTACATCAGACCAGTCGTATATTGTCTAGTCCGAACCTATTTGCTTTCAGGGGTCACCTAGAGTTATCAACTACTAATTCCTATTGTCTCGGGGATCCCAGACAACCAGGTATTCTACATCTCCTCACACGTATCCAATCAACAGTCAGACACTGCATCGACCAGTGCCACTTCTCAGTCTGACCACTCTGAATCCCCCTCCAAACTAATCTAACTTCCACTAGCATAGCACGTTGAGTTCGGCGGTGGCTCGGCATGTGCAACACTTGTCCAAGTCATCCTAGTCGACTAAGGTTCACAACTCCATCAATCAACTTGCCTTCACCTGATTTCAACATTAATCACAAAGTGATTACACCAAACGAAGGCATTGCTACGATGACGCCTACTGTCGAAAACTTGTAGTTGCTTCAGGTCTTCTACTTTTAACGGGGATGCCCCACAGCTGCATAACAGGACAGAACAAACTATAGCGCAGTGTTTTCGTCCGCTGATAAATAGTCAGATATGTTGCCATTTGGCGCCAAATATGACGCAAGTTGGCAAATCTCGAATGAGCCTCACATATTCGAGCTGAGATTTCATCAGGAACCAACTCGTTCAGGTTGATCCAACTCCATAAGTAAATGAAGTGGTCGACACATTCCACCACTTCATTGGCTATCATTAAGCTGAGAGTACTTGCAGCAGACCACTGCTGGAGCGTCATTTGACAAGTGTTAGATGCATACCAAACATATTCAGATTTCTTCTTAACGCGTTCAGAAGACACTGCATTTTGTCATCGTCTTCCCGTAGGAGGAAAATATCTTCTACATACTCCAAGTTAACCAAATGACATCCAAGGAGCAAATCAATTCGTGTGAAATCAGACGTACCTATGGTTATGTCTATTAGTACGTCTATGATGAAGTTAAATAGGAACAGTGATATTGGGCATGCCTGCCGAAAACCTAGTTGTCGTCAATACACATGACTACTCCCCATAAGCCCTTACACGACTGCGTTAGTTCAAGTAGAGAGCTTTGATTAGCGTTACATATGTTGTGATCCGGAGTTGTGAGAACGAACGAAAATAGTTGGTGATGATAGTCAAGGGTTGAGACGATTCAACCCGATTGATTTGCGAAGAGAAATCAAAAGATTGGAAATCAGATGAGTTCATAGTATGTCGGACTGAAAACGTTTACTAGTGAAAACGGATCCCTGAAAAGCAAGGAATAATTAGTACATTTAAGGAGGCAGGGGTCAATCAGAACGCTATCGGGTCATACAAAATATGAACCGTGCGCGGTGAAAAGAGCGCAAAGTAAAACAGTTCAAATATGTACAAACTGTAAGTATGGAATATAAGGGATATAAGCAACCCTAACAACATACTTACTTGGTACTCCTTTCACAGTCAAACACTGCCATAACCCCTCACATGTGACAGAATCAAATGCCGCTTTCAGGTCAAGAAATTTGGCAGGTGTCGGTCACTGGCCGGTAGGTATGTTTATGTTCTAGAATTTGTTGGAGGGTTACAATGTGATCGATGCACACTCGCACAGTTCTGAAACATACCTGGTTTTCTCGAGTGGAGCTCCAGTTAAGCGTCGGATAACTATGAACCCTACGATCTTCGACACAATATTAACCAAACTGATTCCCTTTTGGTTGTCACGAGAAGAAATCTCTCCCTTCTCATAAACTGGGGTGATCAATGAGGTACACCAGTCTGACAACATTAACTTTGATTCCCATGTGCAAACTAGTACCTCCATCATTCTACTCAGCATCCTCCATCCTTGTAAAATCCAGCCGGGAAACTGTCAGGTACTGCTGCTTTACATCGTTTCAGGTTCGATACAACATTCTCACCTTCGAGGAGAGTTGGAGGACCGACAGATGCGTGCCATAGACGTTCAGGGTGGATGTTGGACGTTGCTGAGGACCTGTTGGACTTTGCTTCAAAGTGTTCTGCCTAACGTTTCAGCCGCCTGTCGTGACAGGTTATCGGCCATTCCATCCTTTTTGGTGATGGCTTCACTCACTATTGTTTCCTTTTTTTCTGTATCCTTAATAAGCCCAAATAGTTGCCGAGTTACACCTACCGTTGACTCTTTCCCCATCTCTCTCTCTTTCGTCACTCACCACTCTTCGTGGTCGACACAAAGACTCTTGGTTAACTTACGTTTAAGTCGCTTTTGCTCTTCATGGTGGTTAGAACCAGCTGGAATCAGTCTTGTCTCATCAGTCAGTTCGGATGACGTCGTGGAAATCTAACGACGTTTACTAACTTTCTGGTGTATATTACCAATTGACTTGATGATTTTTTCTGCAGCAGACTCAATATCGCACGAGGTTTCCTCAGGATGAACATTGCTGTCACGTTCAACTAAATGTTTAGCTAACTCTTCTCTAAATGCTTACTCGGCGTTCTCATCTAAAAATTGAGCACAGATTACCCTCATTGAAGACACCCACGAACCTGTCAAAGCGCATGATCAGAGTCCAAGGGGGTACTTCAGAGTGAGCGGCAGTCCTCCACCGATCCTCTTGAACAGTGGTTTATAGCAACGTTGTCTGTGTTCATCGTTGGTTTGTTGTTGGCGGACGCCATATGAGACAGTGTCTCTCCTTATACTTAAATTTGGTCCTGGTCAGAAACAAGTGATTATCGGAACAAAATTGCAACAGACGGTCACTGTTGTCGGTTCGTTGGCATAGGATTCTGTAAATACTCCCAAGATGACATTCCGATTGGCTCAGGTTCCCTATTCGAGCGTTAAAGTCACTTGCCATTATGACATGTGAATATCTTGCTTTCTGTAGCAAAATCGACAGCTTCTCATAGAATTCATCCTTTGTACCATCCTAACCACACTCAATGGCTACGTAGGCAAACATACACAAACACTTACGATTTTCATGCTAAACTGCAAATTCTTTCTATCGACACAGTTGTTGAGTGTCTTACTTACTTGAATGGAATCACCAACCAAATAGATACCGACAGCTACGCTAATCGTCAATACAGGCTGTTAAAGATGGATCGTGGCTAACAGTGGAATCCAGGATGCGCTTTTGGTGCTATTTGGGACTCGTCAGTTGGATGTACCTGCTTCGCGATGAGTGGTGTTGTTCCCATCGGGATTCGGACTCGGGAGTGATCGCTCCAAACGCCAGAGCGTTATCCACCCTACCACCGAGGCATGATAGCCACTTCTTGTGCGATGTGTATAGTTTTTAGTATAATTGTTTTTATATCATACCGTCGTTGATTGGACCGAATTGATTGATCTCTAATAGCATATAGGATCTTGTGCGGATACCTCAATATAACCGGTGCTCTAATGGCAGTAATGATGGATGGTGGCTAGCAGTGGGATCCAGTATGTGTCCTATTCGGGACTCGTCAGCTGGATGTACCAAGGCATCCTCACAGGATCCCATATGCCAATGGAGACCGATCAGTTCGGTCCAATCAACGACAGTATGATATAAAAACAATTATACCAAAATACAGGCTGTTGTACTTAAGTAGCTGAGGCGTAGTAAAAAGACATTCACATGACTAAACACAAACGAAGGATAATACGAATATCAAGTTTCAAAAATAGAATGATAATATACGAAAACAGTGGTTTTCAGGAAATTTATGGTATAAATGGATCTACGCTTCACTACACTAGTTTTAACCGAGATATCCTAATACTTGTTACTATTCATAACAAAGTGAAAAACTTTTTTACATGACCTTGATGCGTAACTAAACTTCCGATGCCGTTTAGATAAGTGTAAACAACCTTAGAAAATAACATGAACGAGGAAAAATAAATGTTTTTTGCTGAGTTACTTCTGCTTTTCTTTATGACTCAATGAGCACTTTCTGTCTCGTATTTGAAAAGAAATCATCTTGTAATGTACTTTCTCTTACTCTTTTCATACTTTACTCTCTTTTTTTCTTTTTCCAGTGGATTTGATATAGGAAATCATTTTAATGAATGGTGTTATGATTATACAAATCCTAATCCTCCATACTTCTATCAAAATATTGAAAATTATCCAGATCGTTCAAAACAGGTTAGTATATTTGTCTACTATTGATATTTTGTACAGTCTTTGTTTAGTCTGCATGAATTACAGCTTTCGATTCCGATTTGATTGAAACCATTCCGTCTAGTAGATGTGATATATTGAATTATACACTTCATCAGTCCCAAGCTATTTCTATCTGTCTGTGTTTAGTCAGTCATTTGAAATCACAGAACGTATACAACACAGATATGACCTGTTGTGTTCAGCAGTTTATGAATGTATGCACCTCAGTTACACTGCATCACGTTACATCCTGTTAGGGAGAGAGAGAGAGAGAGAGAGAAAATTAACGCAGAACGTCGCACGAAAGTGCATCGGTGTTCAGTACAGTATACAAAAAACAGGTGGATAGAAAAAGACTGATATATCAAAGTAGACGAAGTTGTGTGAGAGAATAAGCAATTTGAAGATAATAGTTATTGCGAGGAAGAAGATGTCATTGTGACGGGTTTCCAGCCATTTCATCAAGAATCCCCAACTACTGATTCCTTTTATCTCCGGGACCCTAACCAGGCAGTCTACATCTCATACAGCTCTGACCAACAGTCAAGGACTTCATGAACTGGTGTCACATCTTCGTCTCACCACCCTGTACCCTCTTGCAACCCAATCTGACTCCCCCTGGCATGTTATGTCGAGGTAGGTGGTGACTCAGCATGTCCAAACCATCCCAGTCACTAGCGATTCACAACTTCACCAACCAGTTTGTCTAGTACCTTTCACCTGACTTCAAAATTACTCTTACAGTGATCCCACCAAATATGAACAATGCTACGAAGACATTTATGATGGAAACCCTGTATTCGCTGCATGTCTTCTACTTTTAACGGTCATGTCTCATAGCCGTATAACAGAATGGACTGCAGTTCACTATACTTGTTTTATGTAGAAAAACCAGTCAACATGTATCATAGAATCTTAACTTGTCAAGTTATAACCGTCTCATTAGTCTGATGAGTGTATGCAACAGATACGAACACTGTAGAAGCAATTTGTGAAGACTCTTTTAATCTAAACTACTCTACTCTCGTTTTATTCTATAAAATAGTTGTATATTCCGTTTACTTGTAATTTGTAAATAAAATGCCTACCCTAAGAGTTGTTTGAAAATGATGTTATTCCATTTGATATTACTGAAAAGGCTGAAATCGAAGTATTCAGAAACTACTTAGCTCTGAATCTTATTTGAAATAGAAACTCTGTTATGAAGAACTGAATTGTATATTTATGTCGACAGTATATATGAGATGCAGTAATTATAGCTCATTAACAAAAATGTTTATACCTTTGCATTTTTTTTCGATTCCAATGCAATCAGATGCTTGAAAAAAGATGTGGTTTTATCATAACAAGTTTTCAAATTACTAGTTTGTCATATATTATCATCTCATGGTTATTCATTAAAAATATCTTGAAAAAAAGTAACTATTTAACAGATTTATTTTAATGATAACATTTTAATCGGTGACACTTATCGGCATATATGCTTCAAATAACTTGTCAAACTGTAATTAACAAGGCGTATTAAATCAAAATGTATGGAATGACAGTCAACTCTCTACCTCAACTTTATCGACTTTGAAAGGGCCTTCGATAGCGTTGACCGAGAAGTAACTGCTTTAGCACTGCGGGATACCACAAACCTTTATCAATCTCATTCAACAACTATATGAAGACGTCACTTGCTAAGTGATCCACAATGGAAAGCTCAGTGACGCCTTTGAAGTAAAGATGGGAGTAAGACAAGGCTGCCTACTGTTACCAATGATCTTCGTGTTTGTGGTCAACTAGACTAGATAATGCAGCGAACCGTGAGGAGCGAAAAGATGGGGATACACTGCCTCGATCGATGAAAATACCCCACAAGAAGATTTGGATTTCGCTGCCTATGATGATTTATGTCTAATATCTTGTCGTACAAACTCGAAAATCTACAGGCAGAGACCAACAAGTTGACAGAAGAGGTGAGGCAGAGAAGGAAGATGAGACTTCAAGCGAATGTAAAGAAGATGGAGGTGATGAAGATGCCGAATCACCACAACCACACCACCACCAACAACAACAACAACAAGCACCAATCACCATGAATGGGAGAAGTCTAAGAGAAGTAGTCTCTTTCACCTACCTACCTACCTACCTACCTACCTTTTCTACCTGGGCAACATCGTTTCAACTACAGGCGCCTCACAGACACATATGAGGATGTCAAAGCAGTCAAAATCGGAAAGACAGCAACACAAGCCTTCATTCATTCATTCATCGGAAATCAGTGTGGAGATCTACTGCACTCAGCACTCAGAAAAAGATCCGGATTTTCAACACCAGTGTCAAGTCAGTGCTGCTATATGGTTCAGAAACTTTGCGCATTACGAAAAGCATTTCCAACAAACTGTAAACATACATCATCAACAGCTGTCTACGCTCTATACTGATGATCAGATAGATGGTCAGAATATTAAGAATAAGCAACGAGGAACTCTAGGTGGCTGGCAACGAACCAACCAAGAACCTATCACCCAATAAATCTGTAAAAGAAAGTGGAGATGGGTTGGGCATACACTGAGAAGACTGATTGGGGACATCATGCGACAGGCCATGCCCTCGAGTGGAACCCAGATGGGAAGCGACGAGTTGGGCGTCCGAGGCGAGGGTGGCATGGGAGGAAGACATGAAAGCTTGTGGGCAGTAGTGGAGCCAGATTGAGAAGACTGCAGAGAAGAGAGTGGGTTAGAAGCGTGCTACTGAAGCCCTATGTTCCACTAGGAACTCAAGTTATTTGTATACTTTTGTACAAGGAGTTACATGGTTTGAAAACGTATACATATTTATATTATCAGTGTTTTTTGCTCCTAGGTGGTATATGTTTTTGATATGTGTTTCACTGATATTCAACATAGTGTTATTAGAGGAATAATACAAAATATTTGTTTATTTTGTTATTTGTTCTAATATACTACGCTGGGATTACACAAGTAAAAATACATTCTATACAATGGTGTTATTATTATATGAGAATAGTTTAATTCAAATATATCTCCGTTTCATACGGAGGCGTTAAGAGAAAGTCTCATTTAAGTTCGTTGTGAATCTGAATTATCTTATCCACTTCTTAACCTATGTCATCTTGAAATGAAAGTGATTAGTTTTGTGGATATACAGCTAAGTTTACTGATATTAGTGTGATTATGCTAGGTGTATCGGTCTATCGATTAGTGGAGAAAGCCAAAAAGCTTTTTATCAATGTCGGATTGGTATGTATGCTTATTATCATCCACATTTTTGAAAAATGCTTTATATGTGGCCTAGGGGATAACATCCCAGCACTTTGAAGTGATTGGTCCTGGATTCGAGTTCATTCAGTCACTCACTGAAAGGAGTAGACACCTTCAAATGATGAATCCTAAATTCATAAGCTATAGTAATATTTTCTTTTGAAATTCTTACACTGTATCCCGACTAGAATTAATTTTGTTAGCTCACTTGGATACATTTGTTTTGTGTCTATTCTTTGTAGATTAGAACAAGATATATAGGCGGACAATATTACTTTCAGTTAGATCCTCTTCAGTCTTTACTCTAAGATAAATCGCTAAGTATATGTCTTTCTGACTATCTGATATAGCTGTGGTTTGGCAGACTAGTATTTATACTGGGTTTTGTTCAGTTGATAGAGCACCGAGCCAGTAACCCGGTGGTCGATGGTTTGAATCCGGCAGAGGTCGAAATTCTCATTTCACCTTCAATCATCCCCCTGTATAAATACTAGTCTGCCAAACCACAGCTATATCAGATAGTCAAAATGATAATCGACATGATGCGCCCCACCTCTGTTATTCAGTTAGATTTGGATTTGGATGAGAAGTGCTGAGTGTGGGCAGCCAGTGTGAATGCGATTAAGTGGTGGTAGTGCATCACGAATTCAGCTGATAGTTGGGTAAAACCGTTGGTAATTGAAGTGAAATAAAAATATGTTGAGCAGTTGGAACGGAAACCCGATGGTTGGTGGTTCGAATCCGACCGTGGTCCATATATATGCCTCACAATCAAACCAATCATGTAGGCTTGTCAGTTAATGTGTATGATAAGTGTTTAAAATAACAATGGTGACAATTGTACAAATAATAAAAATGATAACGTTAGCTAAACCAGTTGTAATATACATGGTAATGATGATAAGAACTGAGAAAACAGCATGAAAATGTAGACACTGTGATAATCAAAGTAGGTCGAAAGGTTGGGGGGGAAAAAATGAAAGTTACGCAATACTGAGAAACAAAGTAAGTGGATAAGAAAAGTCCAAAGCAACAAATTTAAGAAGCATATGAAAGGGTTGAAGAATAAGAAAAGGGATAAGAAAAAATTCCGATGATAACGTTTTTTTAATAAGTAATTCCCTGGCTGAGGGAAATATAAGGTATGTACAAATTTCTTCTTGGTACAAAGATTAGGATAAGTATCTGGAATTCCCACACCTGCTTAGTGTAAAAGACTAGTTCGAATACCTTTCGAAAGGTTAGGTGGTACATGATAAATAATCTTGAAAGCATTGTTCTTATCTACCGAGTAACCACTGTCAACAAGATGAGATAAAACAGCCCAAAGGAAACGATGGGCTGACCACTTCAAAAAGCTCTTGAATCGACCACCACCTGCAACTCGTCCAGAAATACCACCTGCAGCCACAGAACTACAAGTGAACACAAGTCCTCCGATAAAAGTCGAAGTCCTGAGCGCCATAAAGCTACTGAAATGTGGGAAAGCAGCAGGACCAGATGGAATCCCACCAGAAGCCCTGAGGGCAGACGCAGAGACAACAGCAGAGATGCTCACACCACTATTGCAGAAGGTGTGGAAGGAAGAGAAGGTACCTGGCTACAGACTGGAAGAAGGGTTATATTGTCAAACTCCCAAAGAAGGGCGACGTAAGTCTTTACGAGAACTGGCGTGGAATCACTCTCTTGTCCACCCAAAGCAAGCAAAATATTAAGCCGCATCATTTTGAAGAGACTAAAGGATGCACTGGATTCAAAACTACGACCCGAACAGGCTGGCTGGCTGGATTCAGGAAGTACAAATCATGTGCGGACCAAATTGCAACGCTTCGCATCATCATAGAACAGAGTATAGAATGGCAGTCAACCCTATAACTCACCCTCACCGACTTTGAAAAGACCTTCGACAGCGTCGAACGACAAGTAATTTGGCAGTTGCTTCAACACTACGGAATACCACAAACCTTTATCAATCTCATTCAGTGACTATATGAAGATGTCACATGCCAAGTAATTCACAATGGGAAGATCAGTGATGCTTTTGCAGTGAAGTGAAGACAGGAAGGTGTAAGACAAGGCTATCTACTATCACCCATGATATTCCTGATTGTGGTGGACTGGATCGTGCAGCAAACAGTGAGGAGCGAGAAGAGGGGAATACGCTGGCTGGACCGGGGAAAAGATCTCAGAAGATTTGGATTTCGCCAGTGATGACCTGTGTCTAATGTCACACAAACTTGAAGATCTACAGGTGAAAACTAACAAGTTGACAGAAGAGGCAGGGCAGCGAAGACAGACGGGACTTGAAGTGAATGTAGAGAAGACAGAGGTGATGCAGACACGCAAGCAACAACAGCATCAACAACAAACACCAATCAGCATGAAGGGGAGAAACTTAACGGAGGTAGCCTCTTTCACCTACCTGGGAAGCATCGTTTCAACTGCAGGCGGTGGCTGGACATACGAGGACATCAAAACCAGGATTGGAAAAGAAAGGCAGACGTTGATTAACGTGAAATCAGTGTTGAGATGTTCTGTACTACACTCAACATAAAGCGTGAAGAACATCTGGATTTTGAATACCAGTCGAGTGAATTGAGTGCTTCTATGTGATGGTTGAGAGAGTTGGCACGTTACGAAAGGTATTTCCAACAAACTACATACATTCACCAACAACTGCCTACGTTGGCTCGTCACTGAAGCTGAGATGGCTAGAATAATGAAAATGAGTAAGAAGTAACTCTGGCCGGCTGGCTGGCTGTCTGGCTAGCAACGAACCAAGGAAGCGAGAAGCTATTGCTGAATAAATATGCATTGGAAGGAAGTGTAGATGGATTGTGCATACACTGAGAAGGGTGACTGGGGACATCATGCGACAGGCCAGGCCATGCCAGGCAGTCGAGTGGAACCGAGATGGGAAGCGATGAGTTGGGCGTGGGAGTTGAGGGTGACATGGAGGGGGTCGTGTGAGGAAGAAATGAGAGGTTGTGGCAGTCGTGTAGCCAGGTTGAAACGATTTCAGAGATGATAGTGTAATGGAGACGTGCTACTGAAGCTTTATGTTCCATTAGGAATCCAAGGGACAAATAATTATGATAATAGTAATAATGTATTTTATCTGTCCCTTTTCCAACCATAAAGGTCAAGTGCTCAAGAGTACGTCTAGTGGTACGCCCTACATATCTTCCTCCATAGGAGCGGCTAGAGCAGTAAGTATACCTAGAACTAGATAACTTATGTCTGAGTAAAAATAATTAGTCGACTGAAAGATGATAGAGTTGTGGAGCATAGAAAGCCCTCTTACTGGCTCTAAATAACCTTTGGTGTAAAACTTCTTTGATCATATCTCTATTAAATTGGAGTTTCGTAAATAGCGGTTTCTTTTGAATGGTAATAATTCCTGTTTTATTTCCCCTTGCTTTATCTTTTTATGAAAGTGTTAGAATAGCCCATTTCGACCAACGAGTTGCAAATATATTCTCGCTGTGTTAGTAAGGCATTTAACCAGGTTCACTTTGTATAGAATGGGTTCATGACTAAGAAAATGTGTGGGCTGATCTGTAGATATAGTCTGCTTGTAAGTACATCTGCTGAATGAACTCTACCATCATTTCTATGATTTGTATTATTGTTACCGTCGTTATTTTGAAACATTTATCTCCTTATGTAGCTATAATAGCAGTAATATGAATAATCGAGTATTGAATTTAAGTTGTTTTTGCATACTTGGCTAATGCTTGACTATGAATGCAGTCCCAATATCTTTGGTGTTTTGTTGAGGGCTGAGATAATACTTACGTGATCGTTCTAAAGCAGGTTATCATTGTATAGGTCCAGCAATGGACAGATGTTTCGTCTTATTATAGGACTTCTCAGCAGTAATCAGTGGGAGTCAACCAAGTCGAATATGAGGATAAATACTTAACGGCAATATTGAATGTAGGTCGCGCTGTAGGAAATATAGACCACTGGACTCCGACCAAGTGACTCAATGATGACGTGCTGGCCACAGAACCCTAAGGTCTTGGGTTCGATCCCTAGGGGTACGAGGTCATGGGTGCTTACTGCTGAAGAGTCCCATACTAGTTGAACGTGACAGCTGTACAGTTCTCATAGGTTTCCAATGTTCCTCCCCAACTTGATATCAGTCTATGATGAATCCCAACCTAAAATCAATAAATCTCCACAAACCTCTAGATAGAATAAAACACGTTTATGCCAGTATTTTTTTACTGCCACTCACTATTGTTGTATTTCTTCTTCCTATTGGATTATTTTTAGAAGCTTTTTTGGAAAGCATATCTAACAGAGAAAAAATCAGATTCATCAACTGAAAATTGTAATTTTTTTAAAACAAATGGTAATTGTATCAATAATGATGGTGATGTTTACAGTGAAGATCATGATGAAAAAGTTGGTCAACTTCCCGATGTTTGTGATGATAATGTTGATGCTGATATGTTATGGATTGAAACAATATATGGTTCATTATTATCACATATCTTTTGGTCTGCATGGTCACTTGTTCAAAGTCAGCTATCCAGCATTCAGTTTGATTTTATAGTAAGTTGAATTTTTTCTCTTATTCGTTTTTTTTCTAGTATATAATGGCCGATTCAAAGTGTAGTTCTACTTGACCTTATCAGGTGATATATTTGATTATTGATGATGAAATTTTCCCTTTTGTCTGTATACAATTCTTTCTCATGTATGTTGTATTTCATCAATTAGTCGACCCTTACAATATGTCTGACTAACTGTATTACACACTTCTGCTTACTTAATTCAATCATCAATCAGAGGATAAAGTTTTGTTATTTCAAATTTGAGCTAATTAGGTCAACAGAAAAGAACCGAAGTCACAACTAAATGATCATCATCTATACATTATTGTGTAAAAATCATTTTCTTCACTTATTATGAAATTGCATGGAAACCTATCTAATTGAAATACGCTGAGTAAGTATGTGTATACTTGTGCAAGAGGTGAAAAGCTATACCAATTATCTCTGGGTTAATGATACTATCGAACTGCCTAGATATCGAAAGGTGAAGGTGGACCAATGAGTTACAGAATTTTCCGAAGACTGTCAGTAATTAGTATGTTATGGAAACCCTTTATTGTAAACATTATCGGTTCGAAAAATTCTACGGAGTTATTGGTTCCTGTTTTTTTTCCTAAGCACACATTAATTTAGTCAACTTAACTATCTGATATAGCTGTGATTTGGCAGACTACTATTTATACCGGGGGATGATTGAAGGTGAAATGAAAATTTCGACCGCTGTCGGATTCAAACCAGCGACCACTGGGTTACTGGTTCGGTGCTCTACCAACTGATCATCATGCAGTATAAATACTAGTCTGTCAAAACGTAGCTATATCGGATAGTCAAAATGATAATCGACATGATGCGCCCCACCTCTGTTATTCAGTTAGATTTGGATTTGGATGAGAAGTGCTGAGTGTGGGCAGCCAGTGTGAGTGCGATCAAGTGGTGGTAATACATCACGAATTCAGCTGGTAGTCAGGTAGAACCGTTGGTAATTGAAGTGAAGTAAAAATGTGTCCAATAGTTGGACTTCATAGTTCAGTTGGTAGAGCATCGAGGCGTACCCCGATGGGTCGGTGATTCGAATCCAGCAGCGGTCGAAATTTCCATTTCACCTTCAATCATCACCTAGTGTAAATTTAGTCAGTTTTAAATTTGAATTCTGCTGTCACATCAAAACTGCTAGCTTTCTGCAGACATCTAAATAAGTGAGGTTGAAATGACTCGATAACTCGCTCCTACAATCGAATACAAAACGTCTATCCAGTTGTATACTGCTACACTTTACAGCGCTTTAAAAATGTCATTCTGTTAATAAGTAGTGAGGAAGTGATTAGTTTCTACGAAACTATAAATATGTAGGAAGATGAGTTAAGACTGTGCGATGACGCTTATCTAACCGAGCAGCGATGTATTATACTAAATTTCACATGAAAATCAAATAACAAGTGAGTAAATGAAGATTATTTGTCTTAGTTTTAACTAACACTGAACATGTATTTCATTCACAGCTCTCTCCTTGTATCTCCTCAGGGAGGATGAGAATAAACTACATAGGACTGTACACTCGTACAGCCAAGTACAAGGATTCGACTGTACTTTACTTAGAACAGAACTCACTTATCAATTTCGTGACAATAAATAGTTAGTCTTTCCAATATCTTAACTAACTATATAAAAGTTTCCCCGTTATTAATATTCTTCGCATAACGTTATTATTATCATTATTATTATTATTATTATTATTATTATTATTATTATTAATAATCAATGTAATGGAACGTACAGTTTGTGCAGAATATTCCGCATAGCAGGAATGTCATTAATTTTCTTAATCGATAGTGTCATTATGACACTTAGCATCCACAGATATTATTCAGATCTTTAAAAGTGAGTTAATTATAACACACTGTAGTACACTATGGTTTACTGGATGATGTTTTGACTAGAATTTATCGCTGACATATCAACTTTGTAGGCCTGAAGATCCAGTAGATACAGTTACAAAAAATAGCCTAATCTACCCAACACCATGTAATGATTGTTAGGTCAAAGTAGATAGGTGAAAGCAGGCGATTTGGGTCAGTTAGTCAGAATAGCAGAGCAAAAAGATCTATTGAAGCCTACAATAGTTGACGCTAATAAGATAAGTAATTTGAAGGTAAACTTGGCTATTGCACGGATCCATCATTACACTATATGGTGGGATAGAGTAACACTGCTAACATCCAATTATAGCTAGGTAGAGGGAGAGATTGATCACGAAGTCTTTGTTCATTGAGTCAACCAGCACCTAACATATGTAACAGGAATGACTTATCACATATTGTAGACACGTAGAAAACTTTATCACCGTTAAAGTAACAGAATAAAGGATTGTTGGAACATAAAAAGAAAGTATGAAAACCGTATGATTGGTTTGACTGGAATATGAGCAATACGTCGTCATCCAATAAATTATACTGTATCACTGTTCTCTGGTTATATTCCCACCATCCTTGATCTGCTTAGTAGGAATAGCTGTCCAGACAGAATTGTGACTAAGCATATGAATGTTACGAAAGTTGAGACAAGAACGCCAACAGTTCCTAAGAAGCAGATATTCTTGAAGCTGAAATTTATGAGTGACATCGGCAGTGAGATTATCACACAACGTATAAGATGAGCCTTGCAAAAAGCATCCCCAGTCGCCAAAAAATGTCCCATCTTCTACAACCATACGATTCTAGGTGCAAGGAATAAAGACAAACTGCCTGATTCTTCCACTTCCACGTGCATTTATCAATTCAACTGCTCCTGTGGAGCTAGTTACGTTGGACGTACAATGAAACAGTTCTATCGTCAAATTTCTGAGCACCACTCATCATAGTTGAGCAAGGGAAAAATTAGAACAATAAAGAGATCCATTCTTGCACACCTAGTTGACACGGGATATCAAGTGGATACTAGAAAAGCTTTCAAAACTATTCATCACATTCCAATTAATTTGCCACATGAATTATGCACTCGCCTACTTCATATGGCAGAGGCGATTGCAATCTACCTTTACAAACTGAACCTTTGTATTCGAAAGACGTTTGTTCGACCATTTTCATTACCATGGCCGTCAACATGATGTAACTTCTAGGTTTACTTTGTACACCTCTTCCCCTTTTTGTTCCTATCAATATTCATTTAGTTTCTCATTGTTGCGTAATCGCTTACCGTTTATGTCTGTCCATTTACCTAAGAATAACCTGCTTCATATTTACAATTTTAATAGCCCTATTGATTATTTACATCCTAATTTTTTAGACATCATCTTCATGACTTACTTAGCATCTATGATTATTGTTCACAACTCCCCCCCCCCCCGCGAAATCTAGATATGCTAGTGTAGAGTCCAAGACGAGGACCTAACTGAAAAAGAACATATTTCTTCATTCGATCAGTCTTTTTTCTAAATCTAATATGGAATTATATTCTGGTACAGCATTGAAGTTCTACTTTCACATTAATGAGTTAATTACTTTGATGATTAGTGCATTTCTGTAACAGTTATGAGTAAGGCTACAATAGTTTCTTCTTTCTCAGCGATGCCTTTGAAGTGAAGAAAGGAAGGAGTAAGACAAGGCTATCTACTATCCCCCATGATATTCCCAACTGTGGTGGACTGGATCATCCTACAAACTGTGTGTAACGAGAAGAGGCGAATACGCCGAACCGGGTAAAAGAGCCTAGAAGATTTGGATTTCGCCAGTGATGACCTGTGTCTAATGTCACACAAACTTGAAGATCTACAGGTGAAAACTAACAAGTTGACAGAAGAGGCAGGGCAGCGAAGACAGACGGGACTTGAAGTGAATGTAGAGAAGACAGAGGTGATGAAGATACGCAAGCAACAACAGCATCAACAACAAACACCAATCAGCATGAAGGGGAGAAACTTAACGGAGGTAGCCTCTTTCACCTACCTGGGAAGCATCGTTTCAACTGCAGGCGGTGGCTGGACATACGAGGACATCAAAACCAGGATTGGAAAAGAAAGGCAGGCGTTGATTAACGTGAAACCAGTGTTGATATGTTCTGTACTACACTCAACATAAAGCGTGAAGAACATCCGAATTTTGAACACCAGTCGAGTGAATTGAGTGCTTCTATGTGATGGTTGAGATACTTGGCGCGTTACGAAAGGTATTTCCAACAAACTACATACATTCACCAACAACTGCCTACGTTGGCTCGTCACTGAAGCTGAGATGGCTAGAATAATGAAAATGAGTAAGAAGTAACTCTGGCCGGCTGGCTGGCTGGCTGTCTGGCTAGCAACGAACCAAGGAAGCGGGAAGCTATTGCTGAATAAATATGCATTGGAAGGAAGTGTAGATGGATTGTGCATACACTGAGAAGGGTGACTGGGGACATCATGCAACAGGCCAGGCTATGCCGGGCACTTGAGTTGAACCGAGATGGGAAGCGATGAGTTGGGCGTGCGAGTTGAGGGTGACATGGAGGGGATCGTGTGAGGAAGAAATGAGAGGTTGTGGGCAGTCGTGTAGCCAGGTTGGAAAGATTGCAGAGACGAGAGTGTAATGGAGACATGCTACTGAAGCTTTATGTTCCACTAGGAACCCAAGGGACAAATAATAATAATATAGTTCCTTGTTTGGTATTTGATATTCGTAGGTGATTGAGGAGGAGCTTTTATGCTTTCTATGTGCTACTAGTAAAAAGTACCTGTTACGTTGAGGAGACTGTGTTGTTTCCAGTTTACTGCAACGAACTCTGAATATGGGAGTGATTAGTGTATAAAAAATTGCAGTTCATTTTTAAGGCATGTTGCTTAGTACGAGTTCCTGAACAGTTTACATATTATTTCAATAGTGTTTACTCTATGAATATTCAAAGGGAAACACCATGCGTTAGAAACTACGGTGACTGCAAGCTTTCTTTCGTATAAGAGAATATGATAATTTGCTCCATCATATGCCAGACGTGGTGTGCAAATGGGTAGGATGTTGCTTCTGCAAGTGTTTCAGTGCACCAACTGAACTCTATACCTATGTATTAAACAACCATCATAGTGTTCGATATGTCTTCACAAAGTCTGAAACAGCATTCTCCAAAAGCGGATGCATTTCAATGCTAATTTTTCGACTAGCCTTTTTGAATAGCGTCAAATAATTGATCTGTTATAACTTTATTCTTCTGTTTACTTTATCCCTTATTACTATGAAATGCTTTTTTGCATTATCCTTATTTTCGCCCTTTGCACTTTCATCAACTGTATAGTTGGGAGACTGTGTTAACATTACTTTACAAAACATCAGAATAGATCTGAGTGTTATTTTGTCTCCATCCGCTTCCTCTATTACCTTATCTGTAGCATATACTCACGAGGTACATGACCATATATCGAAAGGTGAGTATACTGAGCTGCGATTCGTTCTGTCCTGTTATGTGACTGTAAAATAAAGCCGTTGAGAGTAGCGGATATGAAGCGGTTACAGAGTTTTGATCACATATGCCTTCGTAGCATTACTCGTACTTCATGCAATCACCATGTGAGTAATATTGATGTCAGGGGAATGGCAGTAGGCGAGGAAGGAGGGGTAGGCGGTGGTCTGTGACGTCCTGAACATTACTTGACTGAGGTGACTTGGACATGTTTTCCACTTGCCGAGCCACTACCTACGTCGACGTGCGATGCTGGTGTGGGAAGTTGGATTATGTTGAAAGATGGTTGAGTGTGACGAAACGAATACTTAACACCAGTGATTAATGTCTCTGACTGTTGATGTATGCCGTGTATGAAGTTGTAGACTGTCTTGTCGGGGTTGTTGAGACGATAGGAATAAGTGGTTGAGGACTGTTGTTGACATGTGTGAAAATCGGTGACAATGGTGCAAATGTATTCATTCTTTGATGTCTTCTAAAACTTGAATATTTTTACTAACCTTGATATTCTAACTCGTTTCATACACCTTTGTGTAATTTGATATGAATATTTTTGTATCCATATGTTGTTTGTATAATAGTACTGTGAAGTATATCAAGTTGAAGGGATGATCTTGTGTGCTAGGTATCTGTGGTTTATATAAAGTCGAACAGAGATCATTAGTTGAAGGGGAAGCACCGGAATACCCTTTAATCTTGATATTTTCATAGAATTCGGGAAAAGTGTATCTGAATTTCGGATTGATAAAGGTGTTATCAACTTTCAGCCTTGATATATAGGATAAGATTCTTCTCTGTATACCATAGTGACACCAAGTTGATCTTGTATTCCAGTTATATCAATATATTATTATTATTATTATTATTATTATTATTAGTCCCTTGGGTTCCTAATGGAACATAGGGCTTCAGTAGCACGTCTCCAGTGACCTCTGTTCTCTTAGATCTTTTGAACCTGGTTCCACGACAGCCCACAAGCTCTCATTTCGTCCTCGCACGACCTCCTTCATGTCACCCTCGGACGTCCAACTCGTCGCTTCCCATGGGGATTCCACTCGAGTGCCTGACGCGTGATGTCCCCAGTCGGCCTTCTCAGTGCATGTCCAATCCATCTCCACTTCCTCCTGCATATTTGTTGAGTGATAGGTTCTTGGTTGGTTCGTTCCCAGAGTTCCTTCTTGCTTATTCTTTCTGGCCATCCATCCGATCTTCAGTAGCGAGCGTAAACAGTTGTTGATGAATGTCTGTAGTTTATTGGAAATCCCTTTCGTGACGTGCCAAGTCTCTGAACCATCACACAGAAGCACTGACTTGACTGATGTTGGTGTTGGAAATCCGGATCTTATTCACGCTTTGTGCTGAGTGCAGAAGATCTCCACACTGGTTTCAGGCTAATGAATGCCTGTCTTGCTTTTCCGATTCTGACTTTGACATCGTCGTCTGTGCCTGTGCCGCCTGTAGTTGAAACAGTGCTTCCTAGATAGGTGAGGGAAGTTACTTCCTTTAAGTTTCTCCCGTTGATGGTGATTGGAGTTTGTTGTTGTTGTTGTTGGAGTTGTTGGTGCAGTATCTTCATCACTTCTGTCTTCTCTATATCCACCTGAAGTCCCGTCTTCGCTACCCTGGCTCCTCTGCCAACTTGTTAGTTTTCGCCTGCAGATCACGTTTGTATGACATCAGACACAAGTCATCACAGGCGGAATCCAGATCTTCTAGGTTCTTTTCCGTAGTCCAGCGTATCCCCCTCTTCTCGCTCCCCACTGTTTGCTGCATGATCCAATCCACCACAATCAGGAATGTCATGGGTGATAGTAGGCAACCTTGTTTCACTCCTGTCTTCACTTCACTGCAAAAGCATCACTGATCTTCCCATTGTGAATTACTTGGCATGTGACATCTTCATATAGTCACTGAATGAGATTGATAAAGGTTTGTGGTATTCCGTAGTGTTGAAGCAACTGCCAAATTACTTGTCGTTCGACGCTGTCGAAGGTCTTTTCAAAGTCGGTGAGGGTGAGTTATAGGGTTGACTGCCATTCTATACTCTGTTCTATGATGATGCGAAGCGTTGCAATTTGGTCCGCACATGATTTGTACTTCCTGAATCCAGCCAGCCAGCCTGTTCGGGTCGTAGTTTTGAATCCAGTGCATCCTTTAGTCTCTTCAAAATGATGCGGCTTAATATTTTGCTTGCTGTGGGTGGACAGGAGAATGATTCCACGCCAGTTCTTGCAAACACTGAGGTCTCCCTTCTTCGGCAGTTTGACAAGGTAACCCTTCTTCCAATCACTAGCCAGATACCTTCCTTTCCTTCCTTCCAGACCTTCTGCACTAGTGGTGTGAGCATGTCCGCTGTTGTCTCTGCGTCTGTTCTCAGTGCTTCTGGTGGGATCTCATCTGGTCCTACTGCTTTCCCACATTTCAGTAGCTTTATGGCGCTCAGGACTTCCACTTTTGTTGGAGGATTTATGTTCACTTGTAGTTCTGTGGCTGGGCTGCTGGTGGTATTTCTGGATGAAGTGCAGGTGGTGGTCGATTCAAGAGCTTTTTGAAGTGGTCGGCCCATTGTTTCCTTTGTTTCTCTTCTTTCGTAATTAAATTTCCGTCACCATCTTTTATTGGTTTCATCTGTGTTGATCTCTTCCCAGATAGTAACCTTGTTATTTGATACAATGTTGTCAGGTCTCTCTTACCTTCAACCTGTTCTGCTTCACTTGCCAGTGTTTCGTGGAAATCAATACATATATATTTCAATTAATCGATTACTTTCACCGTTAAAGAGTCAATTTTTTATAAGTAGTTATTGTTTAAAGCAATACTACTGAAATGGCAGTCCATGAATCTCTAGTTATATATGTAATTGGTTTGACTAATTCCATCTTGCTTATTTAGAGTTTGAAGATTTAGATATATTCAGGAACTGTATTCACTTGCAAGTTGTACTATACTGTAGAGTATAGTAAGTAGAGTGTGCACTTTATTGTCCACTGTGATGTGAATCTCGGTATAAACGTTTCAGCTTGTTGTTTTATATAACAGAGGAGGATAGTAAAAGTGTTGAGCGTTATTCAACTAATGCATATATATATATATATATATATATATATATATATATATATATATACTATTCTTTCTGTTTTTCTGTCAGGATTATGCTAAAGTTCGTATACAACATTATCATCATATGAAGTCTTGGTTGCCACCAAATCATAGATGAAGAAAAATATCATTTTGTTGATCATTATAAACTGTGTGATTTCATTGTTATTTTTCCCATTATTGTCAGTAAAATGATTTCAATTGATAGTTGTACTTTTTTTTCTCTTATTTCTGTAATATTCACCCTATTAAGTAGTATTGTTTGGTTTCAAGTAATATATATTTTATGGTATTATTTTAATGATGAAATAGGTTGTTAAAAGTAAGTGTAGATCATCATTCCATTTTCATAATTGTGATTTGTTGAGATACTCTTGGTTAATCTAGACAGTTGTGTTGTTACCTCCTTTTCATCTTTATGTCTTCCAATCACTTTTTTTTCAATTATTGACATCTGTTATTTGTTATCTTGATGCCATGTCCCATTTTTTGTTCATTTCAGCTTTATTTTCAGTTATTTATTTATTTATTCATATTTTTATTTTTGATATATACATTTATGCATACAAGTAGTATGTGGTCATGATACTAAAGTGTGCTTTTCAATGCTTGAGAAAAGGGAATATAGTAAGGGATATGAAGTAGTTATAGAGATTCGATCACAAATGCCTTCGAAACATTACTCGTACTTGATGCAATCACCATGTGAGTAATATTGATGTCAGGTGAAGGGTAATAGGTGAGGAATGAAGGGAAGGTGGTATTCTATGACATCATGACATTAGTCGACTGAGGTGAGTTGAATATGTTTTCCACTTGCCGATCCACTGCCTAAATCGACGTGTGATGCTGGTGTGGGAAGTTGGATTATGTTGAAAGATGGTTGAGTGTGACGAAATGAATACTTGGTACCAGTGATAGATGTCGGGGTGGTTGAGACGATAGGAATGAGTTGTTGAGGACTGTTGTTGATGTGGGTGACAATGGTACAAATGTATTCATTCCTTGACTTCTTTTAAAGCTTAAATAAATACGTGAAGAGGAATCAATCATTGAAGGGGAAACAGTGGAACACCCTCTAACCTTGATATTTTCATACAATTTGGGGAAAGTTTATCTGAGTCTCTTTGGAATTGAATTCTACTGCTGTGCACTAGTTTTGCACTTATATTACCAGGGAATAAGCATATTGTGTCTATTGTTTTCTCTCTTATGGAGATCTGAGCCGGATAGCAGCGTTGTAAAATAGTTCTGTTTTATAAACTTCTTCCGTGTCTTATTGCTTACTGATGTATACCGTTTTAAAGATAGTGTAGTCAATAAAGTTCTTGATAACCGCTGACATTTTCATCCTATTCTGGACTCGTTCGACCCAATGTCTGATGCTCCTACTAATTTCTAATATATGATTGACAGCTTGTCTAAATTAGATAAATTTAACCAACTGAGACAGCAAACGTGATTAATATTTGGGTCAAGATAGCATAGTTTTTGTTTTTAGTATAAGTGACAATTGATGTCCGATGAATTATTGAATTGTCAATTGGAAGTATTTAAATAAAGAGGAAGTTTCAAAGCAAAATGTAACAAAATACATGATATAATAGAGGGTCTGTGGACCGGCTGAAAAAAACTCGAGCACATGAATGTATGAACTAATTTTCGTTATTTGTAGTCAAACTACCAATGAGAATTAAACTCACGTCTAACAGTGATCGGAATGTGTTAGTGATTATCTTCTATCTGCCCTAGGGGATCAATCTACAAAGTAGCTGATTGGATTCTCTATGTGTGATATTTAAGAAATTGTGCTTCTGACTGGTTGATATTTTCTCTCACAATCTCTAACCGTGGTTATACAAATCAAGATTAATACACCGTATGATTATGATATGAAGCGGCCTAAATGGAAATCAAAATTTTAAGTCGTCAGCCGACAAGGTAGAAGTCCTAGATTTCAACCTTTGGTTGATGTTACGGTGTAGTCAGGAAAAACCTTATTGGACGATTTTGTCTCGCAACTGACCAATCAAAATACGTGTACAACTTCTGACCTTTCAGTCTTTATATATTGATGAAAACTGTATATGTTATGTTTTTTTGTCAAATAAATAGTCTTCCTTACAATCACAGGGTTATCTTTGTCTAAGAGTTTTCGCCGCCTAGTGAAGATAAAGTTTTGACGGAGAACAATCTCTATTCATATGTCGTTGTGTTTGTAGCTTTTTCATACTTCGTAGTGTTCTTTTATTTACTTAAGATTACCACGCTTTGAATTCTCAGTCACCTAAAATAAAAGGAAACAACTTTAGTCAGTTTCTTTTAGGAGTGTATCGTGAATCTGACTTCATTGACTACAAAAACAGTTACATTTTTCAGAAAAACTTTTATCTCTGAAAGATAACCTATTCTATCGTTATGAAAATTGTTCATCTTGAACATTTTTTGTCAATCAAAAGATTAATCTTTCGTTTGGAATCATTTCAATCTCTTGAATCGACCACCACCTTCAACTCGTCCAGAAATACCACCAGAAACGGCAGAACTACCAGTGAACACAAGTCCTCCGACGAAAGCAGATGTTCTGAATGCCATAAAACTGCTGAAATGCGAGAAAGCAGCAGGACCAGATGGGATTCCTCCACAAGCAATGAAAACAGATGCAGAAACATCAGTGGACATGCTCACGCCACTATTGCAGAAGGTCTGGAAAGAAAAAAAGGTACCTGCAGATTGGAAGAAGGGCTACCTTGTCAAACTCCCAAGGAAGGGCGACCTAAGTCTTTGCAAGAATTAGCGCGGAATCATGCTGCCGTCCACCCAAAGCAAGCAAAGTATTAAGCCGCATCATCCTGGAGAGACTGAAGGATGCGCTGAATTCAAAATTACGACTGGAACAGGCTGACCGGATTCAGGAAGAACAAATCATGTGCGGACCAAATTTCAATACTACGCATCATCACAGAACAAATCACAGAAGGGCAGTCAACTGGATCTTGACCTAAACTTCATCGACTTTGAAAAGACCTTCGACAGCGTCGACCCAGAAGTAATTTGGAAACTGCTTCAACACTACGGAGTGCCATTAATCTTTATCAACCTCACTCAACAGCCATATGAAGACGCCATATGTCAAGTGATCCACAATGAAAAGCTCAGCGACGCCTTTGAAGTGAAGACAGGTTGACAGGCAAGACAAGCTTGCCGCCTACTATCACTGATCAACTTTCTGATTGTGGTGGACTGGATCGTGCGGCAAACCATGAGGAGCGAGAAGATGGGCAGACGCTGGACCGATTAGAAGACCCTAGAAGATTTGGATTTCTCCGATGATGATTTATATCTAATGTCTTGTCGCACAAACTCGAAGATCTACAGGCAAAAACCAACAAGTTGACAGAAGAGACAGGGTAGCGAAAACCAGACTTCAAGTGAATGTGGAGAAGACGGAGGTGATGAAGATACCCAACCAACAACAACAAGCACTAATCACCATTAATGGGAGAAACTTAAAGAAAGTATTCTCTTTCACCTACCACCTAGACAGCATCGTTTCAACTACAGGTGGCGGCACAGACGACGATGTCGAAACCACAATCGGAAAAGAGATACAGGCTTTCACTAATCTGTGGAGATCTTCTGCACTCAGCATAAACAACAAGATCCGGGTTTTCAACACCAATGTCAAGTCAGTGCTGCTATATGATTGCGAAACTTGGCGCATCACGTAAAGCACTTCCAACAAACTACAGACATTCATCAACAGATGCCTACGCTCGATACTCAAGACCAGATGGCCAGAATAATAAGAATAAGCAACTGGCAACGAACCAACCAAGAACCTATCACCCAACAGATATGCACTGGAAGTAAGTGAAGATAGATTGAGCATACACTGAGAAGGCCGACTGGGGACATCACGCGACAAGCCATGCCGTCGAGTGGAACCCACATGGGAAACGAAGAGTTGGGTGTCCGAGGGTGACAAGGAAATCATATGAGGAAAAAATGAAAGCTTTTGGGCTGTTATGCCAGTTTGAAAAGACTGCAGATAAGAGAGTGCAATGGAGATGTGCAGCTGAAGCCCTATGTTCCACTAGGAACCCAAGGAAAAATAATAATACCGACACATGGTTTAGTTTTTAGACTATGAGCTCCAAATACAATGTGAAAGAGTTTACTATACTACTTATTCAGACAGGTTGAAGTAGACAATATATATAATTTCTAACCGGGGACCCATTACATGAAAGTGTTTCGGCAAGTTAGCTGATAAAAACCTTTGTTTCCTAGTTTTCTTCATACTTAACTAAGCGTTTACATGAGTCAGTTAATCCTGTATGTTTTTTTATACCGAGCTTGAAATGGTTGTCTACTTTTCGGTGAATCTAGCAGTCGTACTAAATTCAATCTCTTTGAAAATGTTTGATGTCAAACCTTAACAAATTTGAATCATATAAATAACATACCTTTATTCACAATTGTGTTGAAAACTGACTATTCAACCAACTCAGATGAAATTGTAATTATATTGTGAAATGCCACAAATCTTCATTATTCATGAATAATGAATATCTTTTGTGATTACAAGAGAAAACATCTGATAATTCTTTCAAGCATGTGACTTTTCTGCGAAAGTATTCAATTTACGTAGCAATAGGCGTTAATATTCTAAACAAAACAAAAAATATGCTGTTCAGAGATTTATACAACTTTATGAGACTATTCAGTTGCTTGATTGATATGCATATTTTCTTCAAGTTTAAACAAATTATGACTAGATGGAGTATATTTCTAGCTCAAGACCATGATTTCAGTTATCTTGTGTAGTTTAAACTGGTCTGTTCAGTTGTGAAGCTTCTGTTGTCATATCAGAATTACTCTGCAAATGTATAAGTAGCTTATCCTGATAAACTCGTCATTAATTGATTGTTTCTGCTATAGTTATATAACTTTCTGCATATACATTTTGATTGGCTGATCTGTACTCTAACCTACTTGTTTCTGGTGTTTTTTGATTGGTTGTTAGCTTTGATAAACTTCAGTATATCTGTTTATCATTGAATGCCAAGCTTCTAAAAACTCCCTTACACTTTTCATATATTCTTCATGTAAAAT